AGATAACTCTCAATATGCAATAGCACCAATGATTGTCCCAGTCAGTAAGTGGTAAAGGAGTTGAGAGGAAGGAGAAATCAGGGAAGGGTCACATTGAGGAGATAGGATTTGATTTGGCCTTTGAAGGATGGCTGGGAGTCAGACAGGTAAGGAGAGCCCTACACCGAGACACATATTCCCTGTGTCCCCTTCTGGGTTCACCAAATGTACATGAGATGCTCTAGCCTAGGGTATGGGTGTGTGGGTGCTGATGGAGAGCCCTCAGTCCCATTGTACTGTAGCTTCCTGGCTGGAGGCCTTTTTTCATTCTCCCCAAACCTCGTCTTACCGGTGGTGGCAGTGCACTCTCCATCAGAGCCTCTTTGGTGCCTACATCCATGTTGCTTCAGGCTCGTCCCCTTCCTCACACCTCCAGCCTCCTGGTCCAGGGACCTTATATATTACTGCAGACAATGGAGGTGGCTGGACCATTCATTTCAGAACCCAGGCCAAGCCATTAGCTTTCAAGCCTGTTTGTTCCTGACCCTCCAGAATCAAAGCCTCTGATAATTCAGAGTTTGAGTGCCTAAGGGCTCTCATCCTAGGACACAAAAACCCTCCTGGGCACTGCAAACCAGCCTGAGGTTCAAGCTGAGTAAACTTGGCCTTAAGTAATGTGTTCCACCTACTTCGGGGGTCTCTTTTGTTGTTTCTACCCTTCCTGTTGGGAACTGCCTCTGTTCTTCAGCCCTTGGGGCACTGCCCTGTTCTTCAGCTCTTGGGGCACTGCCCTGTTCTTCCAGAGTCCCTGGCACAGCTGGATTTCTATAATTTCTCCTATTTGTTTTTCTCCCAAACAAACTTGCTAGGGCTTTGCTCTAGAAACAGAGTCCCTAAGGCAGGGGTGGGGAACCTGTGCCTTTGAGCCCACCTGTGGCCCTCTAGGTCCTGAAGTGCAACCCTTCGACTGAATCCAAACCTCACCGAACAAATTGTTCTGTAAAACTTAGACTCAGTGAATAG